TATATATATATATATATATATATATATATATATATATATATATATATATATATATATATATATATATATATATATATATATATATATATATATATATATATATACATCTTGTATATTGGTATTTATCATGATCATAATTAAGTTGCACGATATTCAAATAGTAGTTTTTCGTAAAAGGACTTGCATCGAAAAAAATTTTAGAACAATGATCACGGATACAATGTTATAATCACTTGTTAAAAATGACAAGAGACCTACGATTTTAAGCAACGTAAAAGAATTATTATTATTATTCTTATTATTATTGATCATTGGTCAAAGAAACTAGATTTTATTATGTATAAAGACTCATAAACTAAGTAACTCAGATAAGACGTTGAACTATTCGAGAAAATTCAGGAATGACATACTTTGAGGGATGAATAGATATTGCTAGACGAAGCCTTTCCAAACCCTAACTAGCTAACTTGTGTCTAGATCATTAGTTTGATATAGCTCTTTTTTCTTTTCTTTTTTTATTGTTATTTCACTTCCTAGGGTTTTGGATTTACATTTCTTAAATCTTTAGTAATCTTTATACCAGATGTCTTTGATCTTTAACACCAAAATTACATTGGTTCTTTCTTAGATCTTACATTCGGCAAAAATCTTGAGCACTGAACTTGCCCACTTTATTAGTTAATTTCGTAAACATGTTAATTTTTGCAAATTTAAAGGACTTAGAAAAGCTAGTCATACTTAGAATGCAATGAAAGCTTGCATCATAGACAATTGAAGAACAAGAGAGCTAGTTTTAATTGACCCATTCTGATCTCTTAATTTTCAGACTAAATATAGGCAAGATACATTCAGACAGTTCCAATAACAAGAATAACTTAAAGATCAGATCAGAATGGTACTTGTCAAGCATATGCAAATTTGACATCAAAGGGCTATTTGCGACATTGTTCTTGACATCTAAAGTCGATGATGGAACACGATATTAGAAGGATAACTAACTTTTATTTCTCGTCCAATGCAGTTGCAGTTAGTTTCCTTCATCATGATGATATTCAAATGAAATTGGCAATCAAGTTGGAATCATGAGAAGCGAGCAACCTTGGTCCTTGCATCAAGATGCCTTCATATCATCAAGACCAACACTGGCCTGCAGAGGGAGCAAAGCAATGAGTTTCACACTTGATGGAAATGTACTCGAACTTGAAAATTGAGCATGTGATTCTTACGAGGAACTTGTGGTTCTCTGCTAGGAGTGGGGCAAAGGTTGTGCAAAATTTTTCCATATCAGCACTGACATCACCTGATCCACCAATAACGTCCATAAATTTCTTCCTATCAGGAGCAAGTTTCATAGCAACCTACAACCAAATTTACCTGTCAGTTGGCTAGTATAAACCTTTTAAGTTATCGAGAGTCACATGGCAAGCTTGAGAGTTCAAAAAGAGTTACATCTATGAGCTATTTAAGCATGATCTGTTTCCAAAGAGACAGGAAATGGACTTGAAGATCAGAAACAAAAACGGATAATACTATGGTATCGAAAGTATGAGTTCACTGTCAGTTGTACAAGGGACCATGAAGCAGGTTCCAATTGCAACAATCAAGACTATATGACAAGAAATTGAGTGAGGGCTTCATGGTGACATGGATTTTCTTTCTTGGAGATGTATAAGTTACAAAGAAGGATGGGCGGGAAACAATAAGGATGACATATTTATCCGATAGTTGAACTGATTGAACTTACAAGTGCTTAGTGATAAATGCCAAGTGTCTGTCGGGTTTCCTATATTTTCAATATACGAGTTGCTTCAAACATAAAGATGTTAAGAAGAAACCCCAAAAACAAACAACATATATTACCGTGAAACTAGAACTGGCAAGCCAGCCATGCCATTTTTTTAAGGTTGTGCTGTAGGAATCAGTACAAACTTGTGACATACTCCAGCCTGGATGCTCTAGCATGTTACTGAATATTTCCACCAGAAAGTCCATTGCCCTGAAATATAAGTACATACATGAACCATATATTTGCCTACTGATATTTACCATGTAAATGATTCAATTACGCTACGATCAAGAGTCTCTGTTGAAAAGATGACATTGATGATTACTTGTTCATTATGACCTGCAACATCCATACCCTACATACATTTCCAGACGCCTTTTGAAAAAGTAATCTACACATCAGATGATATGTAAATTGAAAAGCATTTCTTTTTCATTAACAAGTACCCATATACAGCAGGAACAGTGACTTGAAGATGCTCTCCTTGCGTTGGTTATGTTTATGCACATGACACCATGAAAAATAGAGACATTATCTGCTTCTTAAATTCATCAAGATGCATGTAACTACCTCAATAATTGATGGATGTATTCATCTAAAAATTTGCCACAATAGTAAAAAACAACATACCCAAGCACTACTAGAGTTAATAAAAATATCTTTAGCTCTAGGAGATGAACTATTTGCCGTGTTTAACTATTAAAGGATCAAGACATCAACATTCATGAATTTATACTTAAGCCATATGAGACGAAGTTCTGATATATGTTTCTCGAGGAAGATCTCTTTGATGATCTATCTCAACAAATTATGTGATTGATGTGAGAAATATCTCATTTCAAGTTTCAGGTAATTCAAGATGATATAACTAGTAAACGTGTTCATCGTTGTCAACTTTATTGTTTAAAGGGATCATGTACTTGCTCTTTGGTTCTAGTAGTTAAAGTTTACAATAACTTCTTGCTTCTATCCAACTGTTTCTGTCCAATTCTTGGCGACTTATGTTTTCACATGGATCTACATGTCACATCCTTTGTCACCACGATGATTGAAAATTTTGCATATCGTCTCTATCCACAATTTATATTGACATACTTGGACATGTCTCTATACACACATTTATATTCTACATGCATTACATAAACATATGATGCAAAAGTTCTCACATGTTCAATACCATTCAGAAATTTTAAAAGCCTACTGAAAACGAATCAAACAACACACCTTGTTAACCATAGAAGCCCGTTGGTACAGCTTGAAGAACCTTTAGTCGTTTTAGCTTCAATTTCAATTTGCACCATGCTGTATAGATGTTCAAACTTTGATGTATCAGAATTATACTTGGTTTCAAGCCTCTGCAAAATAAATCAGCGAAATATATGCAAGTGATATAAATGAAAAACAAGGCAGCTGAAATATTATGCCGAATGAATGAGTGAATTAGCTTAGTTGCATGATAAAAATTGCAGCAGACCAACCGATTGTTGCCAAACAATACCAGAGTAAAATTACCCACTCAAGTAAGAAATTAAAAAAAAATATCCTAAAAAGCCTAACTTCTTAGTAAAGGTAACGAAAATACAGATTTCTCACCGTTATGTTACCCCCTATATCAGATTTGACAAGTGACATGGCTGTTCCAAACTTGTCTGGCAAAACCAAAGTGAAAATTAGAAGAAATGCCATGGAGACAGATATTGTAAGATGAAATATTCAGCTCTAAAAAATGGAAGAAGAATCTGATGAAAAAGATATATTACACTTCACATTTTTAGTAAGCAGCAAAATTCATAATAATAAGTTCCAAAACTGAATCAAGCATCAGCTCAAAGCTGGCAGAAGTTATAGAGTTAAAGAATAAATAAGATATACATGCTTATAAAGTATACTAGATAAAACTAAAGACACTGACACATTGATGGTAGCCAAAGGAACAAGGATCACTACTGAAAAGAAGATGCTCTAATCTATCATCACCGAAAACTGGTTCATGGTTGTGATAAGCATACATTTATTGAGCTATGGAAGTGAACATATCATTTTCTTGAGAGATGCTTTTTAGGTCAATATGAAAACTTAAAATCAAGGGCTTCGTGCATTGAAACATACACAGATTGGTAAACATTAATAAAAAAGTGACAGTGTATAGAGCTATTGTGCACAACCAGAGAGATAGCAACATAATAATATAATTTGTTATGTTTGATATCTTCCAATAAGCCATCAAATATCTGATCGTTAAATTTCTTGTAAATATCTTGTAATAAAGCATCTTTGCAGATACTCACTGAGATACTAACTTAGCAAAATATAAACAGCATATAAGCTATTAAAAAGTAAATCATGCCTAGGTTGGCCTAACATGTCTATAAAAAGATAATAAAAATCTCTATTAAGATCCAGACATGGCGAAAAGCAAAGAGCTCCACTGGAACTTTCTCCTCGGATGAAATAATAAGCAGAGTAAGCCAAGTACCTAAAACTGGCAGGATGTGCTTGCACACTTCAAGGAAAGGTTTTGTTAGAATTACTCCATTCTCAGACTTGACATGCTTGATTCCTTCCAATGAGGCAGTGAACACGGTCCCTTCCATCTCTACTCTCTGATCCTTCAACCTATCAAAGTCACAGTAAAACAAAGCTTTCTAATTTTTCCCCAGAAGGTACATACAAAAAGTAAAAACTAAATAGACCTTAATGGAAAAGCAGTCACAAAGGCAAGCGATCTGATCCAAGTATCACGGACTTCCCACTATAGTTTATCCAACGTATGACCCATATAATGGAAAACGTTTAACAGGCAAATCGTAGTCGATCTAACTCGAAAACGGTAAACGAAAAAAGGAAATATTAGTACCGAACAGTTCATGACCTCAGATCTTCTTATCAATAAACACATTTTAACCTAGTGTACGCATAAAAGGGGATAAGAAAGCATTCTCAGAACAGAGATCCATCTAAAGGTTCCATCTTTTTGGTTTTTTTGGGTTCAGATCTAATAACAAAAAAACCAAAGATCCGATCTTTCTGTCAGAACTCATAAGAATCGATCAAAATTGTAAGAAATGCTTTCAGGTGATCTGGCCGGGAACTAACCGATGGGATTTCTCCGACTCGATCGCTTATCTTTCTTCGATTCTCCAAGACTTTCAGATCAAGATAAAGAGGTCGCCAACAAAACGCTTGAAAAATCAACGATCTACTGGCTTCGTTCGGGGAATTCTTAGAGTGAATATGGGTAAAGCAGCCACAGAGGGAAAGTAGCCAGAGAGGGAAACGAATCGAATCATCAAAGAAACTGTAGCGCCGTCGTATTGGCAATACGACGTTTTACGTACCCCCTAATCTACCTGACCTTTCATTGCAGGTATCGTGATCCAAAGTGTCGGGCTCCACAGGGCCCCACCTGAATCTAAGAAAATGCGCGGGTTAACTTTACCGAAGAACTTTTACATGCATCCATCCGATGGCCGATCAGGGACCCGACCCGGCTCAGGTAAAGCCGGTCCGGGACGTGTGCACCGGTTCAAATGTATCAGTTCAGACCGAATTGCTTGGGTTTTTACGAATTCGAGGCTCAAAGTGGCTGTTGTGATCTCGGATTTAAGATTGATTTGATTGATTCGGATCTACTTGATGAAATGATCGAATACTAATATATAGATTGTGTTGTCGAGGTGTTAAACGGTCAAAATTAGGCGAAATGAGTCAAAATTGTGTCACAGTTGGCTGATTTTAACCACCACGAAGGCAGGTAATTTTGTGGTTTCAAGAAAAAATAGGGTGATTTTGATGCTAGTAGTATGCCCTAGATCGGACGGTGAGGAAAGCAAGATTTAAGCGCTGATTGACTATAAAACCCTAGCCCACCTCATCTACCCCTTTCTTGCCCTCTCTCTACCCCGCGGCGGACGTCTCCCTCTCTCGTCCTCAAAATGGTGATGATCTATACTGCCTTTGCTCGTTGATCCTTTGATCTGTCGAATCGGATCTGGGTCTGTTGGCCTGTTCTACTTCTTGTTCTTTGTTCTCGAGCTGATTTGGGGGCCTTTTCTGATGGTTTCTGCAGCCGTTCAAGCGATATGTGGAGATCGGCAGGGTTGCCCTCGTGAACTATGGGAAGGAATATGGCCGGCTTGTCGTCATTGTCGACGTTATCGATCAGAACAGAGTGCGTCTCTTAACGTTCTTCGCTCTCTTTTCCTCTTGATCTCGAGAAACAATCGAGTTTGGACGTGATTTTTATTGCGCGGTTTAACTTATGGGCTACTAAAGTTGTAATTATCTTCTCATGCGTCAAAAATCCGTTGTTTACAGTATACCTTTTCATTCTCAAGTAGTTGTTGCTTCATTTTGTTGCCTTATTCCACGAAGTTACATATGACATTAGTCATCAAAAGATGTGATGTTATATACTATGTAGGATGCATTAGCCTTCTGTAGTTGTTTATACAGCTATTCCTGTTATCAAAAGGCCCTCTTTTGATGTGTGCTTTTGTGTTTCCAGTTAGTTGCTCAGGGGAGATTATAGTTGGGGTTTTCTTTTTTTAAATAACTTGAAATCGATTAAAAGTTTAGCAGTTAAATTTTGCCACCATAATGCTTTAGAGAATTGGTTTTTCTATGCCCACTATAAAGAAGTGTCATGTGGATTGTTTGGTCGGCTGTTCAACAAACAGTCACAATCAATGACTAGGTTTGTGAAGAATGGCATAGTGTATATCCTTCATCATGGAAATCTATTTTTTGTATCTTGAGAAACATAATAATTAAACATCTAAGTCCTTTTTTTTCTTTGGTGCTCACTGGTCAATGCTACTTCAACTAAGACCACAGTGTAAAACCTTAGATGACTTCTGTATATATTTGGCGATCCAGTTATAACCATAGCATGGGATTTCGACATTGTTTTACATGTCAGCCAAGTTGTTTTGCCTTGTTAGTTATTTGCAGCTCAGCCTCAAATGTCATTGCATGCATATTTTCATTAAGCCCCCTTTGATAAATCATAATATATAATTCTCATTGGCATATCCAAGAATCATATATGGGAGGCATATAAGATTCTGTGCTATTCTTTCTGATGAAACATATATATGTTTTGCAAACTTTGTTGTAGATCAATCAACTAAACTGTTGTCCTATGTAACAACAGAAAGGTGCTAAAATCAGATCTTGATCTCCTTCTTGTAGATAATTTTAGGCTCTTGTCTGAAGCTGTTTCTATGGTCTTAGGTTTGTCTTTTTCTGTTCATTTGTCTTTTTTATGCTTCTTTCAATTTTGCTCTTTAGATCCTCCTTTTTTCCCTAAGCATCTGCTCCCATGCAATTTAATGTTAGTTTCATCCCTGTTCTAGATAAATGTTGTATGACGACCATACAAATGATACAAGTTTACATGCTCTGAAATCTCTTATCTTTCCAATGTCTGTGCAGTCTTGGTTTTTATTTGGAACCTAATATTCATGTCTTATTATAATGGAAGTTCTTTGATCTTCATTGGAGACTTAGATTTCTATTTTTTGCTCAAATATTTCTCTCGTACATGGTAGTTTAGATAGACCATAGAATCTTGTGTCCATGTTAGACACCAATGATTTGAAGTTGGACTCTGTTGATTCATAAAAATTAGTATGCTAGTTATGTTGAAGCATCTAATAGAGGCTTTTGATGCCAATATGATTTATTTGTCCACATGGTAATTCGTCTCAAGATTATATATGCCTGCATATTTCTTTCATCATTTCATCAATGGTAAGTGCACTGTACTTGTCTTCTTACGGCAAGAATTTTTAGTTCTTGTGGTTACGAGTTAATAATTGGTCTTTTCCGAAATGTGCTGTAAATTTTAGGCTTTGGTTGATGCTCCTGACATGGTACGTGGCCAAATGAACTTCAAGAGACTCTCTCTTACTGACATAAAGATTGACATACCACGAGTCCCCAAAAAGAAGACCCTTATTGATGCCATGGAAGCGGCTGGTAGGATGATTGATATTCCCCATGGAACAATGAAATTAACATAGAATTCTACAGTTGTATAATTAATATACTGCCACAGATGTGAAGAACAAATGGGAGAAAAGCTCATGGGGCAGGAAGTTGATTGTGCAGAAGAGGAGAGCTTCATTGAATGACTTTGACAGGTTCAAGGTCATGTTGGCAAAGATTAAGGTGGAGATTGAATCCTTTAAAATTTTAATGTTCTTGCACCATTTATTTGATTCTTTTAGTTCGCTTCAGTTCATTATGTTGACAAGTCTTTATATATTTGTTCAGAGAGGAGGTGCTATCAGGCAAGAGCTGGCCAAGCTTAAAAAGGAGAATGCAGCTTGAGCTTCTCATTGAAAGTTGATGAATTTTGTCAAATTTATTTCCTGTCAAGCAGTGGTGTCTGTCTTAAATCAAAAATCTCTGATGTGACTTTAGATTTTGCATTTAGTACTGGAGGTCTTAAAAGGTTTTTGTGACACTGATTGAGCTATGGTTTTAATGTTATGTTTTTATCATCATTTCTCCTGGAATTTCGGCAACAAAGTGATAAAATCATGAAATATAACTTGTTAGGTCATGTTTTCGCAGCAGTTTTTAGTTACCCGGAATGCAATGCCGGGGTGCCAACTTGATTACTAGATACCGGTTAGAACCATGCTTCATTGAGCTGCTTGACTTCTGGAGATAATTGAAGGCTTAAAATGAATCGTTTTGACATCAGAAGCAACTTATCTTTTTATTAGAGGATGAATCCTTGTGACTTTCTTTAATCTTGAAATGTTGTTACTGTCTAATTTCTTTGGTGTTCAAGTTTATTAAAGAACATGTTTGATTGCTTAGAGACAAAGTCCATACATACCAAACGAAACAGGAGATGAAATTTAAACATGACTTCCTCAGGATATGTAAATCATGTTTGATTGTGTCGATTTATCTCACAAAATTAAATATCTTTTCACTGAGAATTCTAAGTGATCTAAGAGCGTTAATGTACGCTTTTCATAGTAATTTTGTAGCTCATTTCCTGATTTGGAAGATCAGGATACAAAATAGTTTCTCTATAAATATAGTCTCGTTTGTATGGAAATTAAATCTTCTTCTTATATATTTTTTAAATAAAAAAATATTATCTCAAATCATATATATATATATATATATATATATATATATATATATATATATATATATATATATATGACGGTCACAAAGTCGAATTCAAAGACGAATCTTCTTATTATATATTGATGGGGCATATCATATATAGGATCCATGTTCGATGCCAAATATGGTAACGGCACAAGCTACGTCCATGGAACTCACCTTCAGTCTATGTTCGAGTCATTGAAGTATTTCTCCCAAGGATACGTAAGTTCACATGAAGAACGACAGTGGCATACAAGTCTGCATCAAATATCCGACTATAAAATTGGTTCTTTTACATGACGATGATATAAGTAGGGACCAAAGATGATGATATGCAGTGTGATCATGTGTGTGACCAATTAGCAGACCAAAAGAACTCATTCCATGCTATATGCTCTGACAGAAGCAGATCCATCTTCCATGTGTTGATTCATCTCCCATGATTTCGTATGATTTCAGGCAGTGGACTCATCATGCGGCCGGTTTCTTCTCGTTGTTCTTGCTGCGGAAGGGCGAGAGGAGGGAGAACGGACGAGAGACTGCAACAAGAATCAAGTCTTTGAGAAGGACTGTAATAAGCAATGAATTAGGCAGAAAAAAAGCAGAAAAGAAGATTTTAGCTGCGGCAGACTCGAGAACTTTGAGGTTCCTAATAATTTTCATCATAAGCGCTTTTACATACATCATGTAGACACCAATCGAACAGCTTGAGAGTTGAGAAAGACATGTCTAACCTTTAGTCGGCGTGCCTCCAGCATTAGTATCATCTTGGGCAATGAGATTCTTCAATATATGAACTGGAAAACAAAAATGAAAATGTATCAGATACAAGTATCATTTGACATGAGGTTTCAAACATGCTTGCGCTAGAGTTTGATATTTATTCTATTACAGGTAGTGTATGATCTGAGGCAGCCACAAAGATAAGGAATAGAAGAATCTAAGATGCACAAAGATAGCTGCAAGCTGCCTGATAACGAGATCATAAATGTTGTTTTTGAAAGTTCATGTAACTGCAGAATAAATGCAGGAAAATGAAATAGTCATTATAGCCAGAAAATGGATAAGAGTTAGCTAGCTAGGTTAGAGATAGGAACCAGGTTAATAAAAGGTAAGGCTTTTCATTTTTTGATTACTTGAATTCAGTGGTTTAGGCAAATAAACTAGTATACTATTGACAAAATTGTCTGTAAACGTCAATCAGCAGGAGGTGGGATCTTACCATCATTGGACGAAGCCGCACCAACTGTTTGATCATCAACAGATGAAGCATCTGAGTCGATGTTACCTTCACCCAATGCCGAGCTGTGGCTCTTTCGACCAAATTTTAGCAGCTTTCTGAAACCTTTTAATTCCTTGCCTCGAGGTTTCTCATATGTTTCATGAAGTTGACCCCCTAGGCTCAGGTTCTCAAAATTGGATATATTTGTTGTGGTTTCCACAGCACATATTGCAACCATTTCAGATTCTGATGTACGTTGACCTCCATCATTTCCTAAATTAGTGGTTACAGGATCATCCAAGGGGGTTGATCTGGAAGAAGGGGCTTGATAATTCTTTTCTGCCGCAGTTGAGTTTGAGAACTTCTGAGGCTCATTTCTTGTGTAAGGAACAACCATCTGATCAGCATTAGCAACATCAATTCATGGTCAGCCCATTAGTAGCTCAAGCAATGTAGATGGAAGCTTCATCTACCAAAAAGTTTTAAGCGCTAAAGCATAAGCAAAGACCAACATACTTATAACTTTTCTTCTTGATCATGATAATATATGTACTTGGATCCATAGCCAGAAAGGACCTCATGTGCCATATTTGAGTACTATTTACTATGTAAACAACTTGCTCATGTATAATGCAGGTAAAGAAAAGCACTAAACATGGAAATTCAGGCATCAATCAGAATCACTTAAATCCTAAATGAAGAAACTACAGAACTAATTCCTTTACATGAACTCAACAAAATGCTAAAGATGTTGTGAAACATGATGCATGCAAGAAAAGTGGATACAAAGAGGTATACTAGTGAAGTATGCCTTCTCATACAAGTGGCCTACAGCCTGCAGCTAAAAGTAAACATCATGCTCCAGTTTGGGAATATAGACTTTAAACAGAAGCTAGTAACTATTGTTACTTCCTCTGAAACATATCTTCATCAATATATCCTAAACTTAAAGATGTGTGACTGTTCTCTGATAAAATATACCTTGTAGGAACTCAGTTGTTCATCCAACTTGCCTCCACCAGAATCCTCAACCTGATCTATAACAATTGGTGTACATGACTCCTCTCCATGTGATGTCTCTTTTGTGTCTAATGTCTCATCGAGTTGCTGGACAACAGGAGCAGTGACCACATTATTTTCAAGCATTACAACAGTCTTCTCAATCACCGGATTTTCATTGCTGTTGCTAGGTGGCTTATTGCCAGTTAAATTCTCGTTGATGCTATCAGAAGCCTGAGAAGAATTTCTTCCAGTCACTCTCTGCAACAGATCTTTGCTAACTGATTCCTTTTTAACTCTATCAGATGAAGTTTTTGGTGAATTAATTCTAATCTCTGGCAGAGTTGCCGACTTACTTTTGTCCAATTGCATAATTGCAGTAATCTTTTCCCGAGACTCATCAGGTATGTTTCTCTTAGGCACTTGAGCAGAAGCTACGGACTTCACTGAGGATCCACGTTGAGTGTAACTACCTCTTGGATCAGACAGTCTTCTCGGTCGAAGATTGTCTGCCTTTGCTTCTGGCGTGAGTCCTTTACTTTCCCTTTTAATCTCAGGCAATGAAGATAATGATCGAGATAACCCATGATTACTGCCATTTAATTTGCTAGATTTGGTAGCTTTCTGGGGAACACTGGATCCAATTGAAGAGGTTCTGATGGGCAATTTATGGAAAGGTGAAGAAACAGGCTCTGAATCACTAAACTTTGACCCTTTGTAAGGACTTGGCAAAGGCTTTGCAGCTACACGGGCTTTTGTCTGCTGCGGAGTCACTGCCATCCGAGTGGCACTCGAACTACTTCTTGCAGCTATACTCTTTTGCCTCTGTCTTTTTAAAGCTTCCAAACGCTTCAACTCTTCCTCTTCCTAAAAGTGGAAATACTCAAAATTAGCCAAGCAGACAACCAAAACAACCTAACTAAACCACAATGTACTAGCAGAGAGTTTTTTTCATATAGTAATACACCATTAACATGAGTCTGGAATAACAACATCACATAAACGATTTATAATGTCAGCTGAACTGCAATCTTTAATATCATCATAAAATGTCAATTATACTTGTCTAAAACTGTTACAAAGTTTCAAACCCAATATGAATTAATAGGAGGAAAAAGTTCATTATGGACTTATATGAATGACATAGCATGTGACTTCCTAGGGACGTCAGTGCTCCATCCTCTGTTTGCTTAAAGAAAGGTTTCCCCAAGATGTTACTCAAGGAGAAAACTTGTAAATTATGACTCGTAGGTAGATTCAAACTTATGCCAAAAAAAAAAAGTAGCTAAAGGAATTTAGGAAATATGCCGCCAGGTTCATGTTGTCTGGGATAATGAGAAATATTATGTTTACACATTCTGCAAATTTCTCAGAATAGACTTTCCCTTCTAAGCACCCTTTATTATATTCCTCTCTAGCTAGCAACTAGAATAATAACTGGGAAGGTATCTAGAGTGCCAACATAAGATGAATCATGAGAGGTACCCTTTCTTTCTTCACTTTCTGAAGATCAGCTTTGTAAGATCGCACCTTCTCTGCACGTTTTTGTGCTTCAGTCAGTGGCTTAAGCCTTGAGGATGGCCCTTTCTTCACCAGTGCATCCTTTGTCCTTTTGTCCATACTATCATTTGAGGCTCTTGAGTTCTTCTCCTTGTCCGATTTCTTTGATTCTTCTTTAATGCTTGTTGAGAGATCCGCTGTGTTAATGGCTTCCAGCTTGACAGAATTTCCAATAGGAACCTCAAAATCATAGTCCTTTGCTGGATCATAACCCATAGATACACTTTCCATTCCACGTTCATGAACCAAAGACAGATCGTCTGGTTCATGGCTAAGTTGGCTTTTGACCTCATACGAATTTTGAGCTTTCTGAAGGGCTGAGGGGATCTCAGAATCCATGTCAATAGCATTTATGCTGTCTGATCCAAGATCTTGTGAACCTGACCTATAAGGAAGCATGAAGGACTCATCTGTTACACTGTATGATGAACGCTTTATTGCGTAAACAGCATGCTTGCCCATATGATCAACTAGTGGATCAGAAGGGTTCTTACTGATGAAATGATTTTCTTGGCCATAAATCATAAATTCATCACTGCTCATACGCCGGTATGTTCCTCCTCCATTTTCTATTTCCTTGAACTGGTTCTCTATTGAGTCTCTTCC